CGTGACCCGAGCCTGCTGCCCCCGAGGCTGAGCGCCGCCCCGCGCCCCGAGGCTCCCCGGTCCGGCCCGGCCCTGCGCCCCTGCGCGCGTGTCCTCCGTCGTGCTCTTTGCTCCGGGAGACTTTCTGTTGTTTGTTTCCTCCGCGCCCCTCTTTGTTGCCCTGAAAGCCGGCCTCGCCACAGCCCCCCGCTCGGAGAGTCGGGCTCTTGGAGAAAGGGGCCGCGGCTCTCGGCCCGACCCCTCCTGCGCGCACCCCTGCCGCGCCCGCGCCGTTCCCGGGGAGCCCGCCGCGCCGTCCTTGATGCACCCGTTCCAGTGGTGTAACGGTGAGTCCCGGGGGCCGGAGTCTTGGCGCGGGCGCGTCGGACAGGCTCGCTCCGCGCTTCCCCAAGTCTCTCCGCGGCGGGACGGAGAGGGGGTGCGTCGCGGCGCCCCGCCACGCTGCATAGCGCGGAATTTGAAACGATCCGGGTCCAACTCCAGCGTCCCCCGACGCGGCAGGCCAGGGGCGCGAGAGCCGAGGGATTCCCAGCCTTTGTGTGGTGGTTCGGCTCTGCTACCCGCTTCCCCTGCCTTTGTGCGCTCCAACTCTGTTCTTTGTTGTGGTGGTTGGAGGAGAATTAAATCCGCGCTCGGGCTGGGATCTCCTAGAGGGAGCTCAAGTTCCCGGGCCGGAAACTTTGCAGGCTATTTTAAATATGTATACAATGCAGCGTGCGGGACGGAGCGCGCGGGTGGCCGGCTCTCTTGGCTGGACGTTGAGCCTGTAGAAGACGCTTGATGAAAGACTGGAGCTTTATTGAATTGTTGTAACCTGGCAGACAGTTTTGTGCCCGACTATCCTTGGAGTTCGGGGCCGGTCCGGCAGATTAGAGGCTCTTCCTGAGCCTAGGAGGTGGTCGCATCCCCACCCCCGCCCTGAGGCACAAACCCAGCCTGGGAGATGCTGCTACGTCAGCTTAGCTCACCTGAGGCTGTTTAGCCGCTCAGGTGATACAGATTGCACTTGGGCCGCAAATTCTCGTCTGAACTACCTGAGGAGAGTCCTTCTGAACCTTAGGTTGTAATCGCCACCCACCCCTCCCGCAGGGCCTGAAGGCTGGATCCCTTTTTCTTACGCTTGGAGAGTTTGGAGAAGGGCGCTTGGAAGGGAACTGGGAAGCAGCTGGCCTTCTTTGTGGGACAGGCTGGCTAGCAGGGAGGGGGTCCATTCTTGAGAGCAGACTCCTGCCAGATCTTGGATTAATTATTTCAAGAGGCTTTTGTTTTAAGGCAGTGTTTGGGCAGCATGTGTATGAGTGTCCTCCACCCCCTTCTTCCTCCTTCTGCTGGTCGGGTCTGATTTCCTGAAAATGAACCAAGCTGTGTGTGATAGGCGGTGATGTGGAAGAGGGGGCGGCGGAAGGGGTGAGCAGGGACGGTGCATCCCAGCATCTGGGAAAGATTCCCGGCGGTGGGGAAGGAGAGGCAGTTCCCAGATCTGCTGGCCTTTCTTGGCCGGCCCTTCTCTGACGTCATCCGCTCGCAGGCTGCCAGCCCAGATGAGACATTCTGATGTCAACGTTTTCATAGGTTGGTGAGACAATGGGACAGAGACTTGGGGAGGACTGTGGCCCGGTCGGTAAAGCTGGCCTTTCTTCAGCGCCTTTTTACGTGAAGCGCAAGAGACTCCCGGAAGTCTTGCTGCTTTATCTTTCACTTTTTTACCTTTCTCTCTGTGGGACTGGGGAGCCAAGCCAGGGCTTCTGCTTATGCTAAGCAAGCTTCCAGCCACTATACTCACCTATACCTGCAGCCCGTGTTTTGGTTCCAGTGGCGGGGCAACCCCTTCCCTGTCCCGTTGGAAAACATCTGGAGCTCCTGTTATGTGGGGCTAGTATTTCCTGTCCTTAAAAATTTTAAAGGAATAACTCCATTGTCAGCTTTTGGCCAATATTCCTTTTTCCTATTTCTCTTTAATAGTACAACTTGAACATCCTTAATCAGAAAATCCAACATCTAAACAAAGTCTGAAACTTTTTGAAGTGCTGACCTGCTACCTTAAGCAAAAATTCCGTACCATGAAACTGTTTCGTGCCCCAAATTGTTTAAAATATTGTATAAAATTGCCCTCAGCCTATATGTATTGGATATATATGAAATATAAATGAATTTTGTATTTAGACTTATATTTGGTTTCTATTACCATTATGTATTATGCAAATATTCCAAAATCTGAAACACTTCTGATCTGAAGCATTTTGAATAAGGGACACTCAGGCTGTGATCCAAGCAGATGGACAGTCTCCTCTTAACTATGAAGCGCTTTCCACCCCACCCTACCCCTGTTCTGTACCCCATAGAGTTCCAAGCTCTCTGAGTCGGTGTCTGAGGAAAAGCCTCTGTGGGACAGGAAAAGATGGCAGAGATAACCTGGACTGCTGGGGCTCATGCCTTCTGCGGTGGTAGCTGCCACAGCTCTGCAAGTTCCCAGAATGGGAAGCAAAATGAGATTCTTTGGGACCCAGAATATGTCAGGATCCCATTCATGAAAAGTGCTCGGAAGAGCTAAGGCAAAGGGTGTGGCTAGAGTCCTTAGAGCACCAAACATCGCTGTGGGCGGAGGTGGGACAAAGGCCTCCACTAGTCTTGAGGATGCAGTGTTCTAGAAGGGAATTCCTGGGCTCTCTACCAATGTAGATTGAATGATGTTTTTGTTTGTTTGTTTTCTGAGACATGGTCTTACTGCATAGTTCAGGCTGACCTTGAACTTGAGGTAATCCTCCTGCCTCAGCCTCCCTAGTGCTGGGATTATGGGTGTATGCCACCGTGCTTGCTGAAGGTTGGCTTTTTAGCCAGTCCAGCTTAAGCCCTTTGTGGAACATTGATCTCCTTTTGGCCCACAGAGAGTAAATATTTGAGTGGGAAGGGGTGCTGAAAATAACTCACTTTCTAACCCGGGCTAAAGCCCAGAAGCAAGGGCCACCCTGGTGGGCACAGCAAAGTCTAGTAGCCAATTATTTCTTTAATTTCCCCCTTAATCAAAAAGTCTTTTGGAGCAAGAATTTCCTTTGCTTTCTGCCTTTCCCCAATGTCTAGGTCCGTATATAAAGTAGATCTTCAACAATACTTGTTAGTAGACTGGTGATTTATTAGCTGAGGTCAGTTTCTGGGCAGTTTTCCCAAACATCAATCTTCTTTCTTTAAAAGTAGGAGCTTTTGCCAAGGGGCCCAGGTTGTTTTGAGAAAGTAGGGTGTTACTATCTGTTAACTAGTGACTGAACAAGCCAAACACAAGCCTAGCCACTGGAGAGTATGCACAAATCCAAACTGGTGTCTTCAGATTCAGAAATGTCCAGGCTTGTTAGCTTTGTATGCACTTGGTGACAAGTTTTGTTCTCAGGATAGACACGTTTCTACCATAGGACTTTTCTTTCTGTGTTTCTTGCCTTTTCCTTTCTTTCTTTTGAGGCAGGGTCTCACTCTGCAGTCCAGGCTGGCCTTGAATTTGCTGTGCAGCCCAGGCTTGAGAACTTGTGATGCTTTTGCCTGGGCTTCCTGAGAACTGGCACTGAGGTGTGTGCATTGCCCTGCCTGGTGTGGTAGTTCACTTTTTCTTTCCAACATGATCAGGTTGTGTCCAGTCGTTCTTACATGCTTTCTTATCCTTGGTGTCTATCATAGTGTTTAATACATGCTAGAGTCAGATGAAGTAGGTACAGGGAACAGCCAGCCACTGTAAGACACCGAGTAAGCAAGAGCCAGAGCGACTGACCCAGGTGGTGAGTGCTGTGGAATACAGGAAGGGGAGGGTCCCTGGACTATCACCAAGACCAGGACTGGGGCGTCCTGCGCAGAGATGGATGAGCAAAGGGGAAAAAGACTGGGTCAGAAATAGTGAGGAGCCGGGCATGGTGTACATCCCTGTAGTCCCAGCACTTTGGGGGGCTGAGGCAGAAGGTTTGCAAGTTAAAGTTCAGCCTGGAGAGCTTACAGAGACTCTATCTCAAACGATTAAAAAAGACCTGGGATATCTCTCTGTGGGAAGATCCTGAGTGCTGTCCCCAGCGCCACAGAAAGGAAAAAAGGGTGAAGAGACGGCTCCACACATGGCGTAGTGCTGGGGATGTGAGTGGGAGACTGCAAGGCAGCAAGCACATTCGGGAGGATGCAATGCCAGGCGTGAGTTTCGAAAGTCCATGAAAAACGAGTGGGCGGCAGTGTCAGACGTGTGGGGTGAAAGAGAGAAGGAACCAGAAACAGTGATGACATTAGTGAGGAAGCAAGAGCAGGTGATGAGTGTATGGAATAGGTTTGTGGCCATAGCATGGGGCACGGCGTGAAAAGGCTTGAAGGAGGACTGGGACGGTCGCCAGTCAGATGTAAGGGGGAAGAGGAATGAGATTCACTGTGTGAGAGTCTCCCCAGCAGGCTTCTGCTGAGCTGTGGAAGCATTGGTAATTATCAGGTAGAACTTTACAGCCTGTTTTAATGGATCCTGGCTCCTAACCAAGCTGTAAGGGGAGTGCCTAGAACCCAGAGCCTGAGTGCAGAGAACCTTTTGGAGCCAGGCTTTCTTAGCTGCTTGGCTGTGGGCGGGTCACTTAATGAGTAAGTCTCTCTCGTAGGTGGGGAAGTAACATTTTACTGTGGCGTTACCGAGATGTAATTGGAAGGGGAGTGTGTCCCTGTAGTCCCTGCTACTCAAAAGGCTAAGACACAAAGATCCCTGGAGCCGAGGAGTTCCAGGCCAGACTGGGCAAGATAGCAAGACCCAGTCTGCTTAAAAAAAAAAAATAAAAAGCTTAAGTTGGCTGCATGCAGGCATGGTTGGGATGCAGTAAATGTAGTACGCTCTGTTTAATCCAGATTTCATCCGTCTTCTCACTGCCATTCTCAGCCTTTGGCTTTAATCAGCCTCTTCTCCACTACAACATGGCTCCCACCCTTCTAGGTGTCTTGGAAGACAGAACAATAAGAAAATCTTTTGAAACAGAACTTCTCTTGTTCCCTTGCCCAGAACCTGGTCACATACCCACCTCAACATCAACTCCTAGCAAAGGGGCAGTGACCACCGCAGTTCAAGCACTATTGAGACTCTGTCCCCAGCCCTGGGAGAAGGGAAGTATCTGGTGGCTGGCCAGTGCTTTTCCAGCTGTGCAGATCCATTTGAAGGTCTTGTTGGAATGTCCATTCTGATTCATTGAGTCTGGCGTGGGCCTGTGATTGTGCATTTCTAACAAGCTCCCAGGGGAGGCCAGTGCCACAGTGGGCCCTGAGTAGAAAGGAGCAGCAGACCAGTAAGGGACGCCGCAGCTCCCTGCCCCCAGCTCCCATGGCCGCTTTCTGTAGTGCCAGCCTGGTCTTGAAGTGAACAACTTCTATTCTAGTCCTGGCACAACTTGTCTTCTGGAGAGAGTGGCTTCATAGTGACAAATGATCTTTGCAAATGCACTTTGTAATTTAACAGAGCCTATTTCTTTCTTTTTTCTTTTTTTTTTTTTTTGTCTTTTTGAGACACGGTCTCACATGCAGTTCAAGCTGGCCTTGAGCTCACTTTGTAGCTCGGGCTGGTCTCGAACTTGCAACAATCCTCCTGCCTCAGCCTCCCAAGTGCTGGGATTACAGGCGTGCGCCACCACGCCCAGCCAGAGCCTCTTGCTTGCACTACCACTTTCAGCCCTCTAAACTTTACTCATTTCCCTATGACAAAGTGATGCTTAGAGAAGTAACTTCTTAAACATCATCACAGCCAGCCGGAAGGAGGAGTTGGAACCCAAATAATAGTTTCTCACATAAGTCCTTTCATTTTGCTGCTATACCCCGTGGTTTTCTACTGAGTAGAACTGATTTTGCCATTTTTTGCTCACTGCCTGAATCCTTGGTCCCTTTAAGTACTTCGTATATTGCTCCATTTTGCAGATTGGTTAAATAATTTGCCCAAGCTAAGGTACCCAGTAAGAGTTAGAGCCAAGATATAAGCCCAAGCCTCTGAATGAGAAGTTGCACTCAGAGCCTGCCTCTCCAGCTGCAACAGTGTGTCATCAGCCCAGTGGTAAATTTCTAATGCTATTTTTCCCTCTTTCTTTGCAGGGTGTTTCTGTGGCCTGGGACTGGTTAGCACCAACAAGTCCTGCTCAATGCCACCCATCAGTTTCCAGGACCTCCCGCTCAACATCTATATGGTCATCTTTGGCACAGGCATCTTTGTCTTCATGCTGAGCCTCATCTTCTGCTGCTATTTTATCAGGTTGGTGGACACTGACCAACCTGGGGAAGTAGGTCAAAGGGGGAAGAGGCCAGGGGTGGATACTGCCCTTTGTGCCAAAGCACTGCTGAGAGGACATGACTTGGCCTGCCCTTCTGTGGCCCTTTGGGACTTGGTAAATCTATTTATATCAGCCTATCAAGTTGTCCCAGAGCACAGAAGGTCACCCTCCCATCTCCTGGCCAGTTATTCTAGGCCCGCCTAGAATTGCTGTCTGGTTTAAGTACTCTAACTGGTGATTCCGCAGCTATCCCTCTCCTGTGCTCACGCCTATCCTCTGGGCAGCCAGGAGCAGGTGGGCATCAGTGGCTTCTTTCTTTGCCCTCTTGGGAAATCCTGTGGTCAGCTTTCCCAATGCTGATATTGGCGAGCTAATATCAAGAAATACTTGTCTGTTTTGACTTGGAAGCTCTTTTTCTAAAAAAAAATTATTTTTATCAGTGCATGTTTGCAGTACATAATGATGACATCCATCACAGGAAGTTGGTACGTGTACATAACACATCTTAATTCTTTTTATCTCCTATTCCGTAAGCTCTTATTTTTTGAGAGTGGCAAAGAAGGGGTCACTTATTCTTAATTGCTTAGTGATCCAGGGAAGGACATGGGCTTGGCAGAGGAAGCCAAGCTCCAGGAACTGTTTTTCCTCCTCCTGTTGAAGGACATGGGTACTGGCGGCCGTTTTCTACAAAAGTGTTTGGGCACGACTGGTATTTACAGTGGAAATCCAAGTAGTAGTGTTTGTACCTGGGATGTGCTGTTGGTATTGATAATTTTTAGTGGTGTGGGACTGTTCTGTATGTTGGAAAGGGTTGAATGTTCCTGGCCGATAGAGTATGCTAACGCCTAGTCCTTGGAGGCATTGTGATAACTGTCTCCCTCTTCCACCACACGTTGCCGAATGCCTGGGGAGACATCATCTGGGGTCTCGGCAAGGGTCTGATCAAATCACTTAAGAAGATTAAGGCAAAGGAATCCTGGCTCCCTACTGAGTTGCCCTGCTAGGTGAGTGCCTTAGCTAGGAAGCAGCTAGAGGGGAAACACACATCTCTCTGTGTGTCTAAGCCTGAAAGAGCTTCCTTGAAGAAGGAAACATGCTTTTGGGCATTGTTCCCCAGTCCTAGTCAGCTACCTTGGGCATCTTCTTTCTCAGAACTTTGCAAAAAAGTTACTGGGACTGGGACCTGTGCAGAGAAAATAGTGGTTTACTTTCCCTCTTGAACAATTAAGTATGAAACTTGTATTTAACTATTAGTGGGGATGAGGGTAGACTTCTGGTATCTCTCCTTCCCTCCCCTTCCTCTCCCTTTCCCTGAACCCTAAGTTTTCTCCTTCAAACACTTCTGAGCACTCTGATGTCTCCCTATAATTCCCATATCATGCAATCCACTCACTTCCCACAAGGCTAAAAGTGGACACATACCAAACACCAGAGACTTACTTAGGACGAGAATGGGGAAGAAACTGCAAAACCAACTCTGTTTGGCCTCTTTTCTCACACACACACACACCCATGCACAGGCACACATGCGCGTGCACACTAAACAGCAAAAGTAATCAAGAGTAGAACGTCCAGAGATTCTGGCCTGGCACTGGGTGACCAGGGTTTGTTTCCTAACTATGCCACTTGGCACTGCCTTAGGTGTTCAGCTACTCTTTGCCAAGGCCTTTCCTGTGTGCCAGACATGGTGGTCAGCATTTTGTAAACCATTTAGCTCACTTAATTCTCTGAACAATCCTCCAGTTCCAGTGTGGCCCACTGTATAAATGAAAACATTCATGCTCCAACAGTTAAGGCTTTGCCCAAAGCCATCCATCAAGGCAGACTCCAAGGTGGTTCAGGCTGGTGACGATGAGCTGGCCTTCTGTGTCCTTCCATATGTTCGCCTTCTGTGAGTGTTCATCTTAGTTGGGGAGCTAGAGGAGCCCTTGTGGAGTCTGTGGCCTCTCCCTAATGGCTGGGCATCAGGGTCCTGCCGAGGACAGGCTGGGGATCTATGTATCACTGACTAGATTTTCTTTATTTAGCTGGGGTAAAAGAACAGAGCAGTCACTCTATGATGCTAAAATCTGTCCCCACCGGGTACTGCTTGGCACCACCTATCCCTTCTTCTGTCCCCTTGTCACCCTGCTGTCTGTCCTGCAGCCTGTACAAAGCCAGCTCAGCCTGGAGAGTCCCAGCTACAGGGGCTCAGTGGTATGTGGAATGTATGCCTATATATAGAAAGACACACAAGCGCGGAAGCCACTTCCTCTCTCTGCTTCTTGGTTTCCTCCTCAGCCAAAATAGGCCCATGACCGCTGCTGCTGACCTGGTGAGCTCCCAAGCAAGGCCAGCTGCCCCTCACTCCTTCTCCTCGCCTCAGAGCCGACCTCTGCCCTGCACAGGATGGAGGGGCTGGTGAAGTACAAATGGGCAGGAAAGGAACGATTATCTTCAGGATCTGGCTGCATTATTGTTTGTTCTAAAAGGGAAAAGAGGAAAGGGAGAGCCCGCTGGCAGTGGCTAGAAATGGTCTCATTGAAATCAGGGTATTTTTAGTTGCTTTGCTCAGCCAACAACTGAGAAGGCCACCTGTCCAAGTGGCCGGCTCTCTGTACCCAGCTGGGATTACCTAGGGTTCTTGCTTTTTGCTGTTTCCCTTGCAACCTTTTTTGGGCCCCATTTCATCATGATCTAATCTTTCCTGAGCTGAATTCTTTACACAGGACAAAGGGGCGACTCTGGTGCTCTCCTTCTGAGTGTTCTGGAGGATGCCTGGGTAAGACCATTAAAGGGAGACATCCAGGCAAAAAGGATGGGGTCTCCAGGGTGCTGTAAACACAGAGGCGCAGTGCAGACCACACAGGTGTATCCACACTGCAGGAGAAGCAGTTGAGCCTCAAACGATGTGTGGTGCCCCCACTGCCCCAGGCAGAGTTCAAAACAAATGGGAGGTAGCTGCCAGGCAGCGTGGTGCACACCTGTACTCCAGAGGCGGAGGCAGGAGGCGCATTTGAGGCCAGCCTGGGGTATAGAGAGAGCTCACGGTGGGACCCTGTCCTGACCCCCACCCCCAGAGGATATAGCTCAGAGGTGCTGTTCATGTAACACAAGTTTCATTGCCACAACCGCAGCGCGCACACACAGGCTCTTCACCACTTCCGTATTTACACTGCCTGTGTCTCATAATGGTGCAACAGTGCCTTTCTCCCCAAAAAGGCACCTTCCTTGGTGTCAGTCGGGTCTCAGTCAACTCACTTTAGCTTGGCTTCATCCTTCCCATCGCTCTCATGCACAGGTCAGGAAGAGATGCACCTGCTGTTATGCAAGCCTCTCGGGGTGAGGAGGCGTGCTCGGCCTAGTTATGGGAGGGACAGTGGGAGCCCCAGTCAGGCTGCTAGCCCAATCCCTCCCCCCAGGCAGAAAGCACAGGGTGAGAGGAAGGGAAGGGGCAGTGGCTGTGCTGCTGCCCGGCCCGTGGTCCTGGCAGGAGTCCACCTGGACGGACTTGGAGGCTCCAGGGACAGCTGTGGTCTCATGACTTCTCTTCAGGAAGGGTGAGGAGCTGGCAGGCAGATCTTATCGGCCCTGCACTGCGCCCTGGGCACGGCTGGCTGTGCCTTCTGCTTCTGCTGCTTCCCCAAACCCGGGGATAGTTTCAGCCTCTTCGGTGCTCATGGGACATCTTCATGCCTTCATTGACAGCCACTGTCCCAGATGTGCAGTTCTCTCTTCCACTTCTTCCGTACAGGGTCAGCTGGTAAATAGTTGGGGCTTTGTGGGTCATGAGGGCTCTGTCACAACCACTAGCTCTTCCGACAGTGTGCAGCACAGAGCCTGCGCACAGCCGTGTGCCTGTGACATTTAATCAACGCTCAAGTTGGATTGTTTTTTCTACTGGTGCAGTTCAAACCTAAGGCCTTGAGCAGGCCAGGGAAGCACTGTACCCCTGAGCTACACCCCAGCCCTATAGTTTTGTCATAAGATATGCTCTGCTGTTACTGTTAGTTCATTTTTATGACGTATTATCCTTTACTTCTGTTTTCAAACATTGAAGAAAGACAACCATTCTTAGTTTGTGAACCCTGTAAAAGCAGGTAGAGAGTGAGCTGGATTTGGTCCCTAATCTGCCCCTACTCTAATCTGATGGGGTTGGGGTGGTTTCTTCCAAAATCCAGGCTGTGTTAGAAATAATCTGGGATATCTGGGGGTACAGCTCAGTGGTGGAGGGGGCTTAACACACGTGAGACCCTGGGTTCAATTTATAGCCAAAAAAAAAAAAAAAGAAAGAGAGAGAGAGAGAGTGAGAGAGAAAAGCACTAGGGATCTAGCTCGGTGTGAAGGGCCTAGATTCAGTCCCCAGTGCTGCAGGGAGCAAGAGGGCGGAGGAGGGACTAAGGGAGAGAGGGAGAGAGAACTGCCGAATTCAGAGTAAGGCTCCTCCACTGAAATAAAAAGGCCGCAGAGCAGTGCATAATTATGATTCCAGCCATTTGCATCCTAAGCCGTTCAGAGAGAGGCAGATTGAATGAAATGTAGATATGTCCCAAGCTCTAATGACATTCCAGGACTGGGTGTGGGGGGACGGGTCGTGTTCGGTGGGAAGGAGGACAAGCTCTTCAACCACACAGACTGTTATTCAAATCGAGACGCTGCTGTCTGAACTGTGAAACTAGCTTTTCAAAGTGAAACTAGCTCTATGAAGGTTTGGGCGAATGACTTAACCTCTCTGGGCTTCATTTTCCTCATCTACAAAGGGAAGTGTCTCCCTCTTTTAAACTGTTTGAATCAATGAGAGAGCACTTGATTGTGTTGGTGTCCAAGAGCCACAGAGCAAGTACCCAGTGAACCATTTGACTACTGCTGTCAGTAACGACATGCTGTATGTTTGGAATTGAGAGGTAATGCCACATGCAGGCTGCCAGCCTGGTAAAGAGGAGGGAACCAGGAAGGTATCGCCTGCTTGGTTTGTCTGGCATCGAAAGGAAGTTTGTGCTTTGGTTCCCGGATACCTGTGTTCTCCAGAGGGAAAATTCCTCAGGGTCATCAGAAGCATGCGTATCCTGTCGTCCTGGCTTAATGGAAATATCCCTTTTAAGAATACCTGTCTAACCCTGCACCCTCGGTAAGCACATCGTCCATCTATCTAGTTTTGATGGCTGAAGAAATTTACCTGCCGGGAAAGCAAATAAGCTATTCAGAGTGCTCCGCTGGAGCAGTCCCAGCCACGTATGGGACCTGGCAGTGCATCAGCAAGAGTCTAAGTCCTTAGCCAATGCCAGTGGCCCCAGTGGGCCTGAACCAGGGCCCAGGATGCTTAGAGGCCAAGCACGCCGCCTGCTGTGAGAAGAATGCACAAGCAGCTAGCCAGGCTTGCCTGCTTCGATAGCTGTTCAGTAACCTGTTCTCCTCCCTTCTTTCTCCCCCAGCAAACTCCGGAACCAGGCACAGAGTGAACGATACGGCTATAAGGAGGTAAAGTGCCCCCTATTTCCCTGATACCTGCTCCTTCACCAGCTGCTGTGATGGGGTGCAAGACAAGCCCAGGCTGCCCTGCCGGGGTCCCCTTGGCCTCCCCTCTGGACCTACCTGATGCCAGCTCCCCTCCCTGTCCTGAGTCAGACTTGCACTGAGTGGCCAGGACTCCCTCCGGGGGTTGGCCCTCCCTGAGCCCTGTGGTTGGTGCCTTTATACTCACACCTCCTCTTTGCTCCCCAGGTGGTGCTTAAAGGCGATGCCAAGAAGCTACAGCTGTATGGGGTAAGTGCCCAGGGATAGCATGGGAGGCCCCAGCAGGTAAGGCAACCAGGGCCTTTCTCCAGCTCTCAGCCTCTGGCCCTTTTATGAGAGTCTTTCTTGTCCCTGCCTCCTTTGGCCACATAAAAGGGACTCATCGCAGCAGGTAGTCATTACATGGAATTCATCATTTTTGAAACCGGCTCTGGCAGGAAACAAAAGGATCAGGAGGGCTTGGGGGAGTGGTGACACCTGGCCTCACAACGTCAGTCTGCATAATCTTTAAGGGAAGGATGGCCACACCACTCCCGCCACCCATAGCACCCTGCAGTTAGGTTTCTCTGCATCCAGCTCCTGAGGCCTGCTTTTTCACTGAAGAAAATTGGGTCCTTTTACCCATGTACATACCTCACAGACCAGGGCTGACTAGTGCCCTGGGCCAGCGGCTCTTCCAGGTCTCCCTCATCCGCATGTACCAGTTCCTTGGTCCACTCAGCTCTCTTTTAATCAGCCTTTTCCTGATCCTTTCCCACCTATGCTACTCATTTCCCTGGGCTTCTGTCATAACCACAGACATTCCTAATCAAAGCAAAGCGTTTGTGGTCATCTGGGACTGGGGAGGATCCCAAGCATCACCCACTGTGAGACTGCCTACACATGGCCTCATTTTATTCTTGGTTTTGATGCCACTATTACTTTCAGCAAGTTTATGTGTTTCGTAAGCCTTCCTCTGCAAGAATAGTTCAGCTCAGGTACACAGGGACCTAAACAGATGTGCTAGCACATATCTGTAATCCCAAGACTCAGGAGGCTAAGGCAGGAGGAGCTTGACTTCAGGGTCAGCCTGGCCTACACAGTGAGTTCAAGAATGGCCTGAACTATGTAGCAAGACCCCATCTCAAAAAACAGACACCAAAACCCCATAAGGGACTTCAGCCTGGATTTAAAGGATCCAACTGACCACATTCTTCATTATTTCTAGCTCTTACTTATAAATGCCCCATGTATTAGGCGAGAAAGATTTAAAACCATTTTTGTAGAACAGCACCATCCAATGGAAAGTTCTGTGATGGTGGGAGTGAGTGGTCTACGCCTATACCGTCCCTCATGGTGACCATTAGCCACTTGTAGCTACTGAGCGTGTGCCATGTGGCTTCCACTGGAACCTGCAGGAGGCCACGGATTCAGTTTCAGAGCAACTGTGAGCCAAATTGACACCATAAGCAAAGCCCACTCTGCCAAATTGAGGACAATTACGATCAAGAAGTTATGTAAATTAAATGTCCAAGGAACACTGTGAAGATTTGACCCCTTTATGAATCTTGTGATACCTGAGTGTATGGAGCTCACCACTGGCGGGTAGCAGAACAATGTTGGGCAGTAGTAACATGAGGAAATAATATCACATTTGAAGCCTTAGCATGAATATAGATGCTGTTAGGCAGAGCAGTTCATGTCCTATCTCTGAAAGGCACGATTTTTTTTTTCTTTTTCTTTCTCCTCTCTTATGCTGTCTCTCATACCAGGGATTGAAGTCAGGGCCTCACATATGCTGAGCACACACTTTATCGACCTACACCTCCAGTCCATCCCCCACCCTTCAGTTTTTGCCTCAAGGTCCTGCTGTTGAACTCACTGTGTAGCCCAAGATGGCCTTCAACTTGCAGTCCTCTTGCTTCTGCTACCTGAGTAGCCATCATCCCTGACCACATTTTTCACATTAAATTTTTGTTAAATAAACCTTTATAATACTAAAAAAAATTGTAGCTAATGCCAGGTGGGAGCTAAATTTATAAAGTCTTCTTTTGGTTCATTTAAATTTAAGCAGCCACATGTAGTTCATGGCTGTCATGCTGTTGATGCAGTTTTGTAAAGTAGGCTAAATTTCTATGGCTGATGGCGGAGACTGAGCTCGAGCTTAGTGTCTTGGCTGGAGACGAGAGAGTGGATACTCAGAGTGGGTGGGGTAGGGTATGCCCAATCTCCTCTCACAGGCCCTGTTTTCTCCACAGCAGACCTGTGCTGTCTGTCTGGAGGACTTCAAGGGGAAGGACGAGCTCGGCGTGCTCCCGTGCCAACACACCTTCCACCGCAAGTACGTGGGGATACGGTCAGAGCTGCCCATTGGAGAAGTAGTCAGGGAGCATCTTCCAGAACCTTCCATTCCCTGCCACCTCCCATCTGCCACTTGCCAGTGATGCCCTAGACTCCATCCTGCCTGGAAACCAAGTCAGCTGGAGGGGTGAAGCTGGGGCAGGCATAGCGATGTTCTTGTTCTGAGATGCAGCTGGGCACTTGCGGGCGTCTGGAGCAGCCTGGGGGCTCTAGCCGGAGATAACAGTCCTTTGTTCACAGGTGTCTGGTGAAATGGCTGGAGGTCCGCTGTGTCTGCCCTATGTGCAACAAGCCCATCGCTGGCCCCACCGAAGCCACTCAGAGCATCGGGATCTTACTGGACGAGCTGGTGTGAGCACCACTGCTGTGCAGAGATGTGGAGACGACCTCTTGCTCTGTGGGTGCCTGGTCCCTCTCACAGCCACAACGAACAAGAAGACTGTTAGGTGGTGATGGTCACATTCACCTGAAGGGGAGGGTGGCACAGGGCCGGTGTCCCAGACTAAGGGCGAGACCAGTGCCAGGCTTGCCCCATCGTTCTGCCTCCTGAAGCCGTCCCTGTCACTCCGTACCCATGGCCTCACCCAGCCAGACTTCTGTACCCTGGTACGGGACATCTTCCTGCCTTGTCCCTGCTCGGGAAGGAACCCACCCTGCCTGGCTGTGGACATTAAGCCCCACCCCGACTCCCCAGCGTTCCCGCTAAGAGGACAGCCTGCCCTGAGCTGACAGGGAGAAGCTGGCTCTGCCCCACCTACAAGCTCCGTGCCCCTCCCTGCCTCCGTAGGAAGGCTGGAAGGGAAAGAAGGAAAAAGCGAGGGACTAGGCGCTGCCTCTGGGAATGGAGAGCAGAGACCTCTGCAAGGAAACAGTCGATGTTTACGTGGGAACTAGTGAAACAGGCTGGCCACAGGAGGGCTGACTGCGGGGTGAGGAGGAGCCAGCCCCTGCCCCTGCAGACCTGAGGTGCTACGTGCCCTCCTCATCCTCTTCCTCAGTTATCTCAGCACTTCCTGTTCCGTGTTGGGGTTGGAAGGCCCCTCCAGGGGAAGGCCTGTTACACACTCGGTTGCTTCCCAGGGGCCTGGGGACAGGGGTGTTGGAGCTCACGGTATCGACAGATACCTGCTTCCCCTGTGTAAATAGTATTTTGTACTTCATTCTGACCATCTCAGGCTTTACTCGTGGGATCCCCGGAGTGGAGGGGGCGGGAGTCTTCACTTCCTCCCCAGAGTGGGGGAGGGTGGGAGAAGGATATGTATTTAAAGAAAATTAAATTTAATAACAATTTTGTCTAACCAACTTTGCCTGTGGCTGTGGCTCTGCCTGTTTTCTTGTCTCACAGTGAAGGGAACCAAATTCTCTGCCCCTTTCTGCCTTCCCTTGCCCAAACCATGTATGTACACAGAAGTGTTCATGATCCTTTTTTTTTTTTTTTGAGGTAGGGTCTTGCTGTGTTGTCCAGGTTGGCCTAAAAGTTGCCATCCTGCCTGAGCCTCTTGAGTAGGGGGGACTGTTCTTATCCTTTACTCAGATGTGCTTACCCTACAACCTGAGCCAGTCATGGTGGTGCCCACTTGCCATTCCAGCACTAGGGAGGCTGAGGCAGGAGGCACATTTGAGTTCAGGAGTTAGACATCAGCCTGGGAAGATAGCGAGAGATCTGTCTGAAAAAATTTTCTAGCTTCGGACTAATACCATTGTACAGTAAAAGCTTAGCCAGGCTCCTTTATCAGATTTCTAGGATATTTAAAGAAAGTTAATGTTTTCAAGCACATCACTGCACTAAAACTGAGAACTAATAAAATTCTACTTGTAATTGGCGGTGCCTTTACAACTAACAAGGTCTAGGTTGCTACTGTGAAAGGCTGATGTTTTACTTTTTGCTTAACTGATAGCTGTCACTCACTGACTGGCACATCCTCGCCCATAGGATATCTATCTAGAAGTGGTGCATGGTAACACTCCACGGGCCTGTGTGTGCTCAGATCTTACGCACACGTCCCCTGACCCTGCTGAATCAATGGTAGTTGTGTTAAGTGGACTGAGTGTGAGGAATGCTTTTCTTAGCTATAAGCATGAAGTGGGAAACCCTGTTTTTCCCCTGCTTGGTGGAACAGGGCAATGCCAGGGCCACAAGGAGCAGGTCCTGGGTGCTGAGCACTGGAGGAGCACTTGCTGAACTGCAGTGCTGTCGAGTGGCTGTGCAACAGATGCGCATCCCCAAAGGTACCAAGGCCCTTCCCACCCCTGCAGGTATACCCTAGAGAGTACGGGCGGTTTGCACACATGCTGGACAGCCCCTGAGGTCCTCGTGTTAGCAGACCCTGTCTTCACCCACAGGTACAGCTGTTCTTGATGCCTTTCCCTCTTCACACTCTACCCTTGCTTAAAACTCCCACCCCTGTTGCTGCTGCCAAACTTTTGGGGCCTGATCTTCACTGAGGTTTCCACTTCCTCCTGTAATACTTCTAGCTTGCTTTAGTGGGGGGAAAAATGCATTCTCTAAGCAAAATGCAGAACCTTCTCGAGCTCCTGCTGTGGCTTCATGGATGCAAGTGATGTAGGTTGGCTTTGAAACTCCTGCCTTACAATCTCCCCTTTCTTTTAAGGAAAATACGTCAGTATTGAATTCATTGATGTGTGCATGAAATTGCAAACTAAAATAAACATTTCAGCCGGGTGTGGTGCCACATGCCTGTGACATCTGCAGTCCCATCACTCAGGAGGCTGAGGCAGGAGGATCACTGTGAGTTTGTGCCCAGCCTGAGCTACCTAGTAAGTTCAAGGCCAGCCTGAACTACATAGCAAGACCCCTTCTCAAAAATCCAAAAAATAAAATATGCATTTCAGAAATTTTCAAATTGATTCCTTGAGGTCAAACTGACAAGAGGAAATGCATTACTTCTAGTGCTTCCACTCAAGCCACATAATGTGTATTACAGGGTGTGTAAAAGGTATTGAGGTATTGCTTAGCTGATCAGCAATGAATTGGCAGCAGATGTGCTCAGGATAAATAATGGCAAACCACAAACCGTCATTCACATGGTCTTGTTACTCGGCAAAGCATTTCTAGAACACCAACTGGAAACAGGCACTGGAGGACAGAAAATCTCTTGCCTTGTGGAAATGGCGTAAGCACTGTTGTTTGGAGGAGCAGGCTTGAGTGGCAGAGAGACCAGAGTGAAAACAACTTCAAATGAAGTTGAAATAGGGAAAAACTTGGATTAAGTCCTGTGTGGAGCCAGAAACAAAGGATTTGATACAGGAAGCATCTGAAAATTTATTTAGAGCTTGCTGGGGACGTAGCTCAGCGGTACAGCGTTTGCCTGGCAAGCTCAAGGTCCTGAGTTCGAGTCCCAGCACCAAAAAAAAAAAGAAAAAAAGAATGCTGAAAATTTAGATCAGGCATTTTTCAAAAATCTAGGCACAATTTGCACACCAAGGCAATTATTTTTTCCTTTGTGCATCCAGGCAACTTCATAAACCACTGTCGTCTCTCTCATAGTGTTTAAATTACTGAAGAATTTGCACCTCAAATGCATTTCAAAGGAGAAACCACTGAAGGAAAGTGGGTGGTAGCCTATAGAACAGGATTCCAACTTCACTGATAGCTGACAGAGGCCTTTTGGTCAATCAGGAGATAACGAGTGCTTCCCTACCTAAAACAATTTGCTTTCTTTTCTGGAGTTTGCATTAGGGACACAATGTTAAGAAAGGCAAATAGTTCACACATAGATATTAAGTGTCAGGGCAGAAACGGAAACCCAGATAGTGGAGATCTAAGTTTAGGGTCAGCTTTTCTGCTTACAGGGCTGCTTCGGCAGTAGCTGGCTCTCTGTGAAGAGATTCAAGAAAGCAGCAGGTGTTATTAACTCCTGGGCTTATGCATACAGGGAAGAGAAAACCCCCAGAGAACTGTCAGATGATATGTGTCCTTGCCATAATTTAGCACCCTGCAGTAGCATTGGTTTTGCTCATTTGTTTTTTTAACTCCACAGTGAAGGACTTAAAGAAGTCGTATGTGGATCTGCCACTTATAAAACTGGTACCTGACGTGACGATAGAAATGCAGAGATCCTGTTGGGCAAATTTTGAGAACCGATGGCTGCCACAGATTGGAGCAATGGGTTCTTTAAAGGAATGTACTCTCTGGTGCTGGGTATGGAGCTCAGTTGTAGAGTACTTGCCTAGTATGCCTGAGGCCCCGGGTTCAACTCCCAGTAGCCAGGAAGAACTGTATCCTCCCATTCTGTCTTTTCCCCATCAGTCCTTACTTTTGCCAACCGCTGCGCCTCCACCAGGGCTTCTCCCATTCTCATGAGGGCCTTTTATTTTACGCCTCCCCAGTTTTGCCATGTTTGTTCCGCCTAAGATAAGATCAACCTGTGTTTCCTGTTCCACTACTCACCTCAGTGCCCCTGACCATGTTACTCACAGGCCAGTCCTCTGTTGAAGCTGTAAGCACAGGTTCGGAGGGACAGAAGGGATCAAACTGGAGACAGGACAAAATGGTCAATTAGGCACACATGTACAAATTTATGGAAACTGTTAAGACCCAAGCTTTGGATTCCCTCGGACTCTGTTAAAAAATAAAAACTTTGCTCATTTAATTCCTTTCTAAGAAGTGGGTGGACTTTACAAGAAGGACATGGCATACTATGGTTTGGCATCTGATTCTTTCCCTAGGTGACAATCTTAGCAGGAAATCAGGACATGCGCTATGTAGAGGGAGGGGCAACAAAGGACAGCACAGCATCCAGGGAAGGATGCTTTTGGTGTCAGCGTTCTTTCTAGTCCCGACCTCTGCCTTTGCACAGCACTTTCTTCTTACCCACCTCTCTTCTTCCATTTCTTTTCTCTCACTCTTTCTTTACCCTCTGCCCTCATCTCATCCTATTCATTAATATTGCTGAGAACACCAAGAGGTTTCAGAGCCTGCCTGATGAGACACCAGGATCATGAATGGTTCAAAAGACTCACAAGTTACTAAGCACAAATCCCCACATGATGGTGTGAGCCCGCAGGGGCCAGCTCTGAGTTTCCAAGTGTTGGAGATGATGTATGTCCATTCTCTCTCAAGAGAGTGCCTGGAATTCCCAAGTAGACAGTTAGAATTTGTGAAGACTTTGATATATCAAAGAAATTATGTGATATGAGGGAGGCCAATAAATCCAAACCCAAATGAAAGGCAAACTAAGTTGGTTTAGTAAATGTCAGATTGGGTATTAATTTTAAAAATCCACAATGCAATAGCACAATTATAATGTGCTAGGGAGTCATTCTCTCTACCACCTTCAATATTTAAATCTCCACTGGGTTATTTGACTCTGCTGAAAAGCAAAGGCGGTATAAAAATTCCCATAATGGGTTGGAGGTCGAGAGTGGAAGGCTCAGTGTTCTATCTCCAGAAAAGACTCCTATGAGGAAGAAGCTAGAGTATTTTAAACCTGAAGGTATAAAGGCCACAGGACAAGCAACTTACATTTGGCTTTTAGAACAGTGTTATAAGCATGAATCTCTACCATGAACTCAGACCTTAGAAATTATTGTTTTCTTTCCTTTAAATTGCTTTTGGCTCTGAGCCATTGACCTTCTGTGATAACGGGAAATCCATTTATTGTCTGTGTTACTATCTCTTCTTCCACAAATGCTCATGGGTTTTAGTGTTACACAGATACAAACCCCCGACTCCATCCTTTGATATACACCGAGACACAGGCTTCCCCATCGCTCATCTTTGGGCCAGGTTTGGAGGACAAGAAGCTGACAGAAGCGACTGAGGCCCAGCTCACCCAGGTCCTACAGCTATTTGCACTGGTGCCACCTGCGCACCACTGGCTGGGATCTGAGATGCTGTTCTCCACTAACATTGAAACTTGTCACTTTCATCCTTTACAAGTGAAAAGGATACGGGATGAACCACTTGAATTCTATCATGGACATTTTGCTGTATCTACCTTACCAGATATCTACCCATAATCAATATGTTTCTTTTTAAAAACACATACCAAAGTAAGTTTCAGATACCAGTGCTCTTCTTAAAGTTAATTTTTACCAGGAGCTTGTCTTTTTGTAAGTGAACTAAGGGTGACCAGAAATCTGCCTTGATTATGAAGATAAACAGTTAACTTTCTGATTAGTTTTGAGGAGTGGCTCTGACTTCTACATGGCTTTACGAATAACTCAAGTATGAAATATATATTTATTTGTTTGTGTAAGGTGGTACTGGGGACTGGACCCAGGGTCTTGCAGGTTTGAAGCATATGCTCTACCAATAAGCCATGCTCCCAGCCCCTCATTTTATATTTAA